CACAATGAAGGAAAACCTATTAAATTATAGTTATTGACCTCATACAATGAATAATCTGGTTCTTTGTGATATACAGGGACATCTTAAAAAAATTGGTTAGCATATTTACATACTAATAACTGATATTCTCTTACTCTTCACGTTAATTTAATGATAATTAATTAATTATTAATCATAAAAATTTATTTAATTTAAAAAATATATATATAAATTAATTAAATATAATGAAAAAAATTAATAGTTTATTTATATTTTTTAAAATAATTAAAAAAAATTAAAGTATTATGTTTTCTTTTTATAGTTTTGAAGATATGGTATATTCTCTCATTCTTTCTTAGTCTATTTTAAGGCATGATAGTTAACGTCATTTTTCAATTCAATAAGATGAATAGAAAGATGCCTTTGAAAATAATAATTTAAGCTGTCTCTAATTCTTCAGTTGAACACTTAATCTATTCTTAATTTCTTGTTATCATTATTTGCTTATGTTTTAAACAGAATAATAAATTTATTACATGTTATTTGGTCAAAAAGTGAGCAAAAGATGTTAATTATAATGTCTTAATCAAAATTTAGCAATGCTTGTCATTCATGACAGCAACCTGCTTCCAAAGTGTCAACCCAATTGACTGTTAATTGCCGATTGCACATGGTCATTCACCAAAATCATCGCCCTGGCTGAAAATTAATCTGTCCGTTAGCCAAGGAGGAGGAAAGGAAAACCTGGTATCAATTCTTTCATAAATCCTGCCTATCTTCACAAATATTATTATTATTATTATTTACATGGACAATTATCATTAACTATTTCCTTTAATGTTGTATCTAATTAAGATAGATCAGAGTAAGGTTCCTAGAAACACTACACCATAGGAAATTTCAAAGTTCAAAAATCAAATCATGGAAACAGAAGAAGAAAACAATCAAGAGGACCCAATGGGTAATTTTGCTTACAAATCCACACAAGAAAGTCCAAAACTCTCCGTCTTGTCTTAGAGACACCCAAGGCAAAAGAGTCCCCGCCTGGTTCCTTCCCCTTTTTGACAACTTCCAAGTGATCCCAACAAACCTTTGACAAAAAGGAAATTCAACTTTCCTTGTCTTTAATTTCCTTTCCATGGATTTTTCAGATTAACCCAGTTTATCAAGGTTTAGTTATATGCTTACCTTAACAAACGATGTTAATTGCCTTGAATAAGTAATCAGGATCATTGGTTTTCCAAGGCCTGTTTGTTTGAGACCTGAGTCGTACGAGCTTGCCAATGGAAACTCAGGTGGAGAAGGTCTATGTTGCAGTTGGAAACGATATACAAGATGGATTTAAGACCTTGGCTTGGACACTAAGAAGGTGGAATTCTCAAGCAATCTCCATAGTCCTCCTCCATGTTGCTTACAACATTTCCAAGGACTTTGTTTACACACCATGTAAGTTCAAACATTGTGGATTTCAATTCTCTTTCGTCATCTGATCAGAACTCAGACACGTTTATATACATTCCATCTTCTGCATCAGTTGGAAAGCTTCCGGTAAGCGCGGTGAGTGAAGAGAAGCTGGAAGTCTTGAGGAAGTATGAGCAAGAGAAGACAGACAAGTTACTGTCCAAGTATATAGCTTTCTGTGGCAAGGTTTTGTTTATTTGCTTATTTGCTGTGGTGGTTGCTGAGATTAGCTTTACCCTGTTGCCATCAGTCTGATTATAATTAAATTTCATCTTGGTATAGGATTAGTTCTGCGCTAATAGTTTTTCCTACGCTTTTTCCATAGGTAAAAACTGAGATATTGAAAGTTGAGAAATATGATGAACCTATCCACAAGCTCATAGTAGATTTGATGTCAGGACTCAGAATTGGGAAGCTTGTCATGGGAATGACTTTCATGAAATCCTCATCATGGTATGGGAAATTTCTAAACTCTGATTCAGGGAATGGATCTTTTTGTTTTTTCTTTTTGAAGATTCACTCTAATTTCTTCCTCCATAGGAGATCAAAGAGCGCAATAAGTGGGTCATTCTATGTTCATCAGTACAAACCCGATTCTTGCGAGCTTTACATTATCTGTGGGGGGAAATTGGTGGTCCTCAAGGGAAATATCGATGAAGGGTCCATGGAGGATGATCAAGGAATCATGGTTGCAAAAATAGGAGAAAAGCCAAGTCTCAAAAATCTGTTAGGAAAAATCTTCAGTGAAAATTCCTTTGGCAGACGGCAAAAATGTTCCTGTCCTCCATCATCAAATCAGGATTCACCAAAGAACCAGTGGGAAGATAATGTGCAAGAGCTTGAAAACTATTTCCAGCATTTATTGTCTTTAAATTTGGATGAGGAGAATGATCATCTGTTGCAAACTAATCCACTGGAGCCAGACTCACACGAAAACACAAATTCCAACATGGTGAGATCATTGTCATCTCACTGATATTTCTTCCAAAAATAAATGTGGTCATAATAATGTTGCAGCAGTTGGGAAAAGTTTTGTTTATGCCTAACTGATCCTGTTTTGCCAACAATATGCTCATATCTTTTGACTCTAGTGGCATATGATAGTGATAGGGCGTGATGATTAATTATTTTTGGTCTCTTAGGGATGTGGACTACCAAAACCACTTTCAAGACTAGTCCTCCATCTTGTCTGGATTTGAATGTCCTGATATTACCTTCTACAATTATTGAGTTTTTGCCGGGCAAAAAAATTATTGAGTTTTCCAGCATTTCATGCCATTCTCATTGCATCCAGGACAGTAGTTCTATCACAATTATGTTAATATCTTATCATGCAAAGCTTTGTCCCAATGATTAGAATGCTGAAGAAAGAATGGAAACTCTGCAAAGTAAAATAGATGAAGCTTATGAGACTATTCAGTTGAAGAGGAAAGAAGCTAAGGCTAATGCTGAAAGACATGCAAAAGCTGAATGGGCTATAATCTTATGCAAAACCCGGGTATTTTAAGCTCTTGAACCTTGTTTAATTAATTTCCTTTTACTTTTTGTTGGGTGGCTTGAATTAATTCATTCCTGCTGTTTTAGGCTGAGGAACTTGAAACTCAGATAAAAGAAGAGGTCACCAAGCGGTTGGAAATAAGAAGAATTTTGGACATTGAAAAAGAACAACTTTATGACGTTATAAGAGATGTGGAAGAGAGCAAAAACAGGCTAAATTCACTCACGGAACTCCAAGCTGAGCTATCAAACAAACTCCAGATATCAAGTATGGCAAGGGCACATGCCGAGGCTCAGCTAGAAAAGGCTGTAGTTACAAGAGCAGAGATGGTAAGGGAAATTGAGGAGTTGAGGCGACAAAGGGATGTTCTTCAACGTAGAATTGAGTTCTGTAGAGAAAAAGATGCACTCGGGATGGTTGCAAGGTTGAGTGGATCAAGCTGCAGCTACAGAGAGTACACAGCTGAGGACATCAGGTTGGCGACTGATGGTTTTTCGGAGCGTTTGAGGTTGAAATCAGGAGGGGATTGGCTGAATGTATATCGAGGACGAATCAATCATTCAACAGTTGCAATCAAGACGCTCGTTTCTGTTAATAGATTGTCTCAACAAGATTTTCAAGCTAAGGTAAGACTTCTTCCGGCTTTATTAATATTAGCCAATTAGTCCAATTTGAGCTTGGTTTTGGCACTGCGTTTAGTTCAATGAAATATGAATTGTGTCTTGTTTGTAGGTGAGGCTTCTTAACGACATCCGACATCCGCATCTGGTCGCAATGATGGGTTTCTGCTCCGAGCTACAATGCATAATCTATGAATACATGCATAATGGTAGCTTGAGAGACATTTTATTTGCCCCCCAAAGAAACTGTAGGAAAACGAACAGAAACAGGGTCCTTGGGTGGCATGCCCGGATCCGTATAGCCCACGAGGTTTGCTCTGGCTTGGGCTTCTTGCACTCGGCTAAGCCCAAGCCTATAGTTCATGGTCAACTCACCCCGTCCAACATCCTCCTGGACCGTAATCTTGTTGCAAAGATTTGTGGTTATGGCTTGACTCAGCACCATGATCAGTATGATCTGAGATCAGATATTCGGGCTCTGGGGGTTTTATTGATGCATGTGTTAACTGGGAGGAATTGGGGTGGGCTGATTGAAGATGAAATGATGATCGACGGGGCGGCCCTTGCTCGGGTTTTGGATGAGAAGGCAGGGAAATGGCCCTTGGATTTGGCAGTGGAGCTTGCGGGGATATCCTTGAAATGCTTATCTGTTAGCCGTGGGCTCAACACAGATTTGCAGATTGCAACTGTGATGAAAGAGTTAGACGAGCTGAAAAAGAAAGCCGATGATCTGGTGGCTAGAGGAGGACTTGAAGTGGTGTGCAAGGAAAATGTAGGCATGGAAGATTCAAGTGATGTACCAGGTGTTTTCCTCTGCCCCATATTCCAGGTTGGTCTCAATGTCAACATCTCAAAAAACTTCTATTTATTACCATGATGTTTAGTGATGTTTTGATATATTTGAGCTATGGTTGATGTGTGCAGGAGGTGATGAAAAATCCACATGTCGCAGCTGATGGTTTTTCATATGAATTCGAAGCCATAGAAGAATGGTTCAAGATGGGGCATGATACATCTCCCATGACAAATTTGAGTCTTAAGCACAAATTCCTGACCCCAAATCACACCCTCCGTTCCCTCATACAAGAATGGCAGAATAAGGGATCAAATTTGCCTTGTTGAATTAAAAACATTGTTGTCTTACTTTGCAGATTTGAAGATTTACATTCGGGTTTCTTCATTCGTTATTGCTTTTGCCTATGACCAAGTAACGATGCTAGCCAAAGCGTACATGTTATTGCAAGAAATGTTGTATATGCACATGGGAGAGAGAGAGAGAGAGCTGTTTGACATGTTTCTTGTATTGCAGCTCTTTGAAACATACATTTGAGGTTTTTCGCTATTTTTGGTACCATTTCATTTACTGTATATGAAAGGAAAAAGAAAAGGAATTGATGGCTTATCATCAAATGCACACTACCTTCCAAACTTCAACTAGAAAATACATACACGAAAACATTTCATTAAAAGAATATAAACTATTTTTCAACTTGAACAATCAGTTACAAAAGAGGCTATTACCAAATCAATCCCAAGAATTTCGTGTTGCAAAAGAATTACTGATGTGTAATTGTCACCCTATCATTGACGCAAACCATCTCCAAGCTCTGTTATGCGCAACATTGAGGACGTGGCCTTCCAACAAGGAAACTTCAAGCCTTAACTTTTCTTGTCCTGAAAGAATCTTTAAGGTGAAGCACAAGCTATCTTCTGCTAAATATTATGCACATAAACATCTTGAACAACAGGTTGAGGCAAATTTTCCAGGCAGGGAGTAATCTGCCTGTGAAGATGGATCCATTGACACATCTTCAGCACGAGACCAGACATACACCCCTCGTTCTTGCTGGCTGCCTGGCACAGTGTTGTCAAGAACAAATGCTACCAAGAGTGTAACCACCATGCTCATGGACATGAGTGCATTTATTGCAAAATCAAGCTGACATGCATTAATAAAACATAATGTTAGTCAACTCTTCCATACAATAAGGAAAAGAGAAAAGAACGAAATAGATCACAAAATCATATATTACAGGATAAGTGTGTATGCATCTACATTGCAGTAGCTCAGACACTAGAGCGGTGGCATTCCGCGTGATTCAAAAACATATGTACATCTTGAACTTACTTGTTTATTACCAGTGCGGACTGGTCCATCTGATGCAGCTGCATATGGAACAAAATAACTTGGCAGCATCAAGCTCGACTCAGGTTGGTACTGTTGGAAATAGGCAGGAATGGATAAACCAAGAAACAAGGACACCCCAACTATGATTATGTTCCTAAAACTTGCTGTTTGAGTATATTGCAACGTTGAGAGGCCTAAAGCCACAACAAGGGCCCACATAAAGCACAAGATGGAAGCAGCCAAAGACAAAGGTATTGAAGCAAGAATTGCACCCACTTTTCCTGTCAACCATAAGTCAAGAAATCAACGTAATATTTACTTCATTGTATGAACAATAAACAAGATAAATTATCTAGCAAAACATATTGAATGCATATCTAACCAATGGATACTGAATCCAAGACTTCAAAGAGGAATCAACCTGTAATATTGGTTTGGAGGAAATCTAATTGATTTAATCTAACCAATGCTTCTTTTTTTCTGGAATGCATCATTTAGATAAGATATACAGCTAGTAGTACAGATTTATTTCACCAAAACCATATTCATATGCATTGAATAGCATTCTATCATCTATCCGCCATGCACAGAGAAGCTTTTTCCATTGAAGGATGAATTCTGACTTTACCTACAAAAGAGAAAAGGATCAAGAAAAGTGCTCCAAATACCACAGCTCTTCGGCTTGCCATCTTTGTTATGTTGATCGTATGTGTATTTTCTGTCAAAGTTGTTGAGCCAGTACCAGAACCCCAAAGTCCAGCCAGCATGCTACAGAAACCTTCCAATGCAATGCCTCTGCTGACTACTGCTGGAGTTGGAGGCTTTGGGCTGACTAGCAAAGATGCAGAGTGATACGTTCCAACCTGCTTAGTCATTGCATCATGAGCAGCAGTGTCAGGGCTATTACCATAATTTCTTGTTCAGTGGCATCAAAACAAGTTTGACATCAAATCAGTTTGGCTGTGCAATTTTCTTGATCTCATTTCTTTTTCTACACCTAGCTATTAGCATTTCATAAACAGAATTATACAAGAAAGATGTGGAGGGTAAAGTTTTCCAAAATAAATTACTTCCATTATGCAGTTCATGTGATACTGATATTTTGGTGCATCTGTATCATAAACTACTAACCGAATCCACTGATGCAACTAGTGACACAATGATCATGATCAGAGACGTCCTAAAATGGAAGATAGGGACACCCCACTGTAAAGGGTAGGGAATTCTGACCCATGCGGCATTTCTCCATGCATTTGAAACATCAGTTCTGCAATGCTTCATGGTATATGCATGTTTCCTACATTCATCGACTAAAATGTTTGAACTGGGAATGTCAGGGCTGCAGCCTTTGTAATCATAAGCTCCTCCAGTTGTTAGAAAGAATGCATATATCCATGTAATCATAACACTGAGGGGAACCTGCGGGTGATAAAAAATGAAATCATGATCAATTATCAATACCCTTACCAAAAACAAAGAACCTCCTGATTACCCTCAGACTGAAAGTCAGAATTCAAGGAAAACAAGTGAGGTAAAATTTTGGAATACTTATTATTTTAATTCTGCTTCTTCAGTGATAGGGGTAAGAGGGGTCTTTCTTCAGGAAGCATTGCTTATCAGCTTTTCACCGGTGAAACATTCAGCTTCAGGTCATAGCTTATGGAAGAAAAATAAATGACTCATAGAATAAGGTCTAGTGCAAGAAGAAGAAAGATCATTCACATGGTACTTTCAATTGTTTTTCTCCAAGGACAATGGGACCTTAATCATTTTTATGAGGAACATTTGAACTCAAGCATCTAGGAAAAATGCCATTCATATCCTGTTTCCTCCAGAGATGGTTCTGTTAGATATAATGTATATCAGGTGCACTATTTAAGAGATGGTATGAGAAGAAAACTTCAAGAATAGTTAAAGCTGATGTCATGATGGAATGGTGCTGATGTACCATAGATTGATGCAATATATTCATAAAATGCAATGCCTGATAGTAAAATAAAAATCAGTTTTTTAAGGAAATGGATTTAGATAGACTTGTGAGGCATTTAAAGAAGAAAGAAAAAAAAAAAATTCCTTTGACCACACCGAATAACTAGAACAAAACACTATCACTGACAACAAGGGTCACTGACAACAAGGGGTAATACAACTTTCAAAAAAAAAAAACAAGAGGTAATACACAAATTGATATTCAAGGATATAAAACACAAGCAGTGATAACAGAAGCAACAAATAATCTTTGTGTTCCCCAATGTTAAGGATTTCATCTTTAAAGAAGTAAAATTGTTAAAATGCATAATAAATGGTTAAATATTAGCTCATTACCCCCAAAGAAAGAACTGAAGGAGGGGTAGTTTGTGGGTAACACTAGACATTTTAAAAAAAAATTCTTTCGAAATAAAGTTTTAGAAAGAATAAACAAGTCGAAAGGTCAGAGTACATACTGCATATATTCGGAAGAACCGATGCCCAAAAATGGATATTCCTCGAAGATACTGGAAAAAAGCACACAAAAGTGAGCAAGTATTTGAACGCATACATCCTTAAAAAGAATACTAAAGATATTATCAAATATACTGTTATACTCATAACTACTCAATATTCAACTTGTTTTGCTCAGGAAATCACTCACCAGAGTACATATAAGAACTAACAATATCAAGGGAATACTGACTTCCACACAACTACCAGCTTGTGGAAAACCATAACTAAAGAATGCTAAACCCACAGCAGCAACAGTTGGTGCAACCACAACTGGGTTAATCAATCTGCAAAATGAGATTACATGAAAAAGAAACAGTTAACTCCATAGATGATTCCAATTTATATCATTTTACTAAATGGTGTGCTGACGTTTGGCATGGTAATTGTAATTATCATTCATTTTTAAGAACCAAGATCTCTCCCTGGCCATATAAGATTGTAGAGAACATCGAGAGAGAAGAGCTTGTCAAGCATTAAATTCCTTTTAATTTACCACAGCATAGCACAGTGAGGATGAATGATAACAATTCCAGATAAATAGTATGATGAGCAGGACACAGAAGTAGTATAACTAATACCTGTTTTTGCTGAAGAAATAATATCTATGATCAAGCAATCTGATAGAATTACCTCAGTAAAAGAGACATCAAACCACTGAATCCCAAGATACTTTGGAATACTGAACCAATAATAATAGCTCCTTGGAGCTCTCTCATTATGTGCCTGAATTTCTACAGTAAAACAAACATGCATTATGGAAACTGGAGTCTGACTGTATTGCAAGAAATACATAGTTTATTGTTTGCAAGCCATGAAATAAAAATGCCCTTAATTCTCCTGACAAATAGGGCAAAAATTGGATGAAAACAAAGAGTCATTACATTCATATATTTTACCAGAATTTAGAGCATCAAAGCCATTTATGATGAAGTTAAAACTAGTTTATATGTATATAACTGACAGCAGAAGGGTATTACATTTATTTTCTTTTACTTAACTTACATGTTCTGTGAGATTTCGATAATCCCGAGCATTAATGATAACTAGTGCTGGTGCCAGATATATGAATGAGCTTCCTTGAACTAATGGAAGCCGAGTACCAAAGTAGGAGTGCAGTATTGTAGTAATGCCAGAAACCAGCAGCACTGTAGAAATCACAGTGGCAGTATCTTTCTGCACCGCATACACAGAAATATCAATTCATTCATATTCAAATTGTGTTAGATGTTGCTTTTCCAAAAAAAAAAAAATGTGTTAGATGTCAAGCAATCAATACTTCTATGGAAAAAGAAGCTTACATCTGTTCCACCCATAGCTGGTACCATTACCAATGGGATGAATATAAGTGAACCTGCCAATGATAAAAAGTGCTGCAGGCCATAATATATAAGTGCTCCTGCAGTTAAAGTTACTCAGATGAGAATCAGGAGTAGGTACTAATTTCTTTCTAGTTATCCAAGACTTATGAAAGGATTCGGTGGCAACTAAAAGAATCAAGAACCCTGTAATTGTGGAAGTGATTCATGATTTTGGTTTTGCATTTTGTAGGCTCAGGAAAATCCATGATATTACCTCGTTCCGATTGTTTAAAGCATCAGATATCTCCGTGATATATAAAAGAATCATGTTGGAAGGAAACTTCATATAAATGTTTGTCTAAATTCAAAGCTCAAAATGCGTATTGTAACTCCACCAGTACTTTCAGAAATAATAAGGGTTATCCAAGTCAGTACCTAAAGCCTACAAAATAAAAACTGACTATCCTCAGAAAGGAGAAGTTTCGTACAGAAAGAACAAAAATACATCCAATTTTGTTTCTATGAACTCATTTCTGCAGGCCTACTTGTAACTGCCGTTTCAAACTTTCACTACCTTTTTCTACGCTATTGATCAATATATCAACTCCAGCTTCTGGCTATTGGAAAAACTCAATAATATAATTCCATTTAGCAACATCTTCATAGCTCAATAATGTAATGTAATATGTAAATAACTGCCTCCTTCAACACTAAACTGACGATCCTCGATGCAACCAGTACTAAGAAAACAGTAATCATCAACAATGAAGTAAAAAAATAAAGAATATATATATATATATATATATATATATTAGGTGAAAACAAACTAACCAAAGCCAGGATTATCTCTCAAACCAACCTTCATCCCCGGATGACGATCACTGCACCATCCATGACCCTGCTGTTCACCTCCTGGATACATCCAACTTCCACATCCCTTTCACCCTTTCCCTCCCATGCTTCTGTTCACCGACAACTGGTGTAACACCTGGCACTCCATTCCATTCCCATTTTCCACCACACGCAAATTCCCATTCCCAATGCCAATCGCATTTCCATTCAACCCAGCTTTCCTTTCGTCAACTTTGTCGCCCAAACCATTCCATTCTTACTGGAGCTGCTCTCCTTCCCTGCCCGGAACCCGACCCGGACCCAGACCCCGAATCCGCTTCAATTCAATCCCTCTATTGGGTTTAGTCCGGCCAAAACCGGGTCAATCTCGATTGGAGATGAGCCACCTGCTCTTTGATCACGGCCACCTCTTTCCATATGAAACCCAGTGGAACTAGTATGCCAGTTTCTCCAGATAAGTGAGAGACAAAACCTGTTCTTTTAGCCCAAGATCTTAGCTCTTTTGGGTTATGATCTCTTTAGGCACAAAGGGTTCGATCTTGGTAACATTAACCAAGCTTGTTACTCTCCCTCTTGAAGGCTCTGCCTTTCTAGTGAATCTGAGATTGACCCAGTTTCCATTTCAGCTTTTTCAAATGGGTACTAAATCGTTTCCAGGAAAGAAGAAAGAAAGAAAGAAAGACTAATATAAAAACAGCTCAAAGAACTACTAGAATAGTTCAACAACCAAAAGAAAAAAAAAAAAGGGGGGGGGGGGGGGGGGGTTCAAATGTAGAAGCTAAGCAAAGGTATATTGGTGAAGGAAGGTGAGAATTTGAGAAGAAATTATTTGGCCTTTTTTGTTTTGTTGTGTAAGTAATGGAAGGTGGGAAATGTCAGTGTGAGAGTGAGAGGATTTTAAGAGTGAGCTTTGAGAGGCATCTTTCTCTTTCTATTATTTTTCTTTTTCTTCTTCTTTCATCTTCGCTTGATCAGTCATTGCCGCTCGCCAGTTGCTATCAGTTGTTGTTTTCAGTATTTGTTCAGAAAATTACAAAGTTGCCACTATAACGGCAAAGCCAACAGCCACTTGAATACGGTCGTTTCTTGTCCTTTTATTTTCTTTCTTTTTTTGATAGAAAAATTTGGGACAAATAGATTTCCCTAACCTCTGTCCAAAGAGTATACTGTATAAATTTCTTACTCTGCCAGTGATGGATTATCGATCCTTTGAGTATAAAATCCAAAAATAGTATTAAAATGCAAATAATTCTAATATCCGAAAACTCATAAAAAATTATACAAAAGACCTAAAAAAATTTATAAATTATTTAAATAATTTTAAATAATTTTTTATTTTTAAAATCAAGTTTTTATATTTTTATTTTAAAATAAATAATTTTTTATAATTAAAAATTGATTAATTATTATTAATTAAAATATTATTTATTATTTTATTTTATATAATATATTAATATATTATGATAGGTAAAAATGTGTCTTATGATATGATTTTAAGATATTTTTCACCATTCACATCAACATCATATTAATCGTAGATGAATATAAAATGATAATTGATTAATGATATTTATTTAATCCTTAATCATATAAACCTATTTAATTTTAAAAAAATTAAATATTGATTAAATCTAATAAAAGAATAAAAAATTATTTAAATTTATTTAATAGTTTTAAAAATTTTATATATATAAAAGATATTTAAACTAAATAAATATTTTGAAAAATATAAAATCATTTGTTGACATTATGGATGTTAAGCAAGGATTTCTTAGATTTCAGGTTTTGTAAAAGGTGAGCTTTTTGATTAGCAAATGAGGTATGATGATAATAGGGTGGAAAAACAAGATTATGGGTCCCAAATTATATTTAATTAGATAAAAGACTCTTCTCAGAGTCAGGATCATTTTGTCATACTTGTATGGCCATTTTAGCTTAATGAGGTGTTTAACTTTTAATTAACTAATATTATAACATGATTTTCTAAGGTGGGGCCTGGAGCACAATTATTCAGTTTTGAGACTTTTTTCAGAGGAAGAGATAAGATTAATGGTGAGAATAGGATGTTTTATTGCATGCTTTAAGGTTTGGGAATGGGTTGAAGATCAAGGGTAGGCGGCTTTCAATAATATATGGGAGGTGGGTCGCCATTAATAAGATTGAAAATCACACAATGGACTGGACTGGAGGCTAGCAGGTTGAAACCCATGTGAGATAAGCCATTGTTTTTGATTTTGAATATTAGCAATAGCACCATGCAAACTCCACGAGCCCCAACTAAAAGAACAGAGGTAATGGAGAAAAATCATTGTCAAAAATGTAAAGATTAACAAAAAAGTGCGAGCTTCTATTTCAACGGATTGATCAATGCAGACAAAGATAATGTTGAAAAGAAAACAAGATTATTTCTTTGGCTTCATGATAACGGCACCACTACTGAGTACTGACTTTGTTTACCTTCAACATGAAGGCTGACGAGATCAAATGCTTTGAAATAAATGGCAGTAGTAACATTGTATAATGTATTATACACTACTTAGGAAAAAGTAACCTTTTTAAAATAGCCAATGGGAAAGCTTTTTAACCAACGATTATTAAATCGAACAAAGCAAACACGTGCATCCACCTCATTCCTTCTTTTCCTCCCAACAAAGTCGACTCATCCCCAAAACATTCTCTGCGTAAAAGTTTCCCATTGAGTTCTTGGTTTTCAACTTTAACATTTCTCAGATATCTTGGCTGCCATGTTATCACTACTTTATAAGGCAACCGCTAGCAATCTTGGTTTAGTTCTCTACTCAGAGTAGAAAACCACCATGGCATTGCAAATTACCTGGGGCCACAGCTCTCCAGTCATTTCTGTGATAATACAAAACACCTATCGTTGCAAAGTGAAACGAAAGACACTAGTATGTCAATTGCAGGTTAACAAAATGCCAATCTGAAACTGAAACCAGAAAATATTGGGTGAATTATTGGTTAGTGATCAAATTTTGCTAGCTCCACTATTATATCAGAAAACATTAGACCTTGACAACATTCACATTGGCTGAAAAGTACAGAGAGAATCATTAAAACAATGGAAAGATTCAACTGATGAAACATCACCAGTGGCCTATTGCTTACGACTATGGTAGCTCTCACTCATAGTTGCTGAATCATGATACTTAACCGGTAAATGCTCAAAGATTGACATCGCAAATAAGCATGCTTGGAGCACTTTCCTTTTCCATTGTGACATTATACAGTCCAATCATTTTCATTGCAATCAACACACACTAGAGGGAGTACTTCCAAGTTCCAAGTCAAACACAGGTAAACATATATAATTTGCTCATCTTTGCCTCTCATAGAATACCTGGATTTCTATTCTCTTCTTAGGATATGATTTGAGTTGGCATTCCAACACCACAATAAACTAGCCATTTCTAAAAGTTTAGTACCATCTGAAGTGGGAGACTCAAAGACTTGAAGAACGCCCTACAAACTAGCTAGTGCTACAAATCTAAGTTCTCAAAATCTATCTTTTATGTTCACTTTTCACAACGCTCCCATATTCAATCAAGAGGCTTCTTCCTTGACATATAGCAAATATCAAAAGTTACCATCAGGAAAGGAAATTAGCAAGCTAGAAACGTCCATCCATCATATATCATATATTAGAGAATTAGGTCCACAGGTTATAGGATTGATGTAGATAACTCCTTTGAAATTATTTCGGGAGTTACTTGTTTATATTACATCTATATAAAACATAATCCTAGCATTTACATCCGACAAGCAACCTTCCCATCCTTGCTATCTATTCTTTCTTTATGCCTCTGAAAAGCATACCATCACAGGGGAATTGGTTCATTCACATTTGGTCAACTAATGCTCAGCTGTTCATGTTTCAGTACCCTAACTTAAATCTTTAAAAACAACCCTTACAAATAATCAACGGGCATGATTCCTTCCACTAATAAGTTGAAACAAGCCGACAAAAACCCTGGCCCCTTGCCACTCTTTCTTTTTCTCTTTTTCCTTCTCCTTTTGCTAATGGCAGAAGCGTTCAAACTTAAATCCATAATCAAATACAATGTAAGCAGGACAAATGATCACAGCAATTAAAGCCATTACTAAAATCAGAGAATATGATTTAGCCTCTAATGCCTAAAACTTCCACCTCCCTAATCAATTTCACGTTTTCCACTAGCCGATAAAATAAGATTAAAAAATAAATAACATAAACCAATATACTAAACTCACTCACGTAAGCAACTCCAAAGAGTTTCCAAATTTACCAATTGAATATTAAACCCTCCATTTAAACAAAAACAACGAAACATCTAATGAAACAATTTAACGCAAAATTAGTGATTGACTCGATTTCCATGACTTCCAACTAATTTTAAACTCCACAAACCCTAACAAGAAGAAACAGAAATTTTTACATTTTCGAATCATTTAAAAAGTAATTCTTTCTATCTATCAAACATAAAAAGCACACACAAAAATTCCAAAAGGAAATATTAACAAAAGATAGCATTTGTTAAAATCACCGAGTGTAAAACGTTTTTTCATTTAGCAGGAAGCGAAGAGAAGATGCGTGCTACGTATTCTTGTTGCTCGCGAAACCGTTGTTTGAGGTAACACTCGAGGATCTCCATGACGGAAACGAAACGCTTCATTTCTTCGAGTCGCCGGGTGAGTTCGGCCTCTCGAGCCCTGGCTCGTTCGAGTCGAGCTTCCGTCTCGGCGAGCCGGACTCGGAGATTATCCACCACCAACGCGTTGTCGTTTCGAGACGGGAGGTCCAAATGGTGGTTCGGTGAGAGAGACCGTTGATGACCGTAACACATTTTTTGACAGAGAAAGTAAACAGCTTCGGTTTTTTCCGTAGACTCGAAAACGTTTCGAAGAATCGAAGAATGGACAAAGAGATTGATTTTGTTGCAGAGCAGTCGCCTATCGGCCAGAAAGGACGTTTGGTTTTGGATTAATGATAGCTGTCTGCTGGATGATCTGGGCCGTTGGATGTGATTACTAATTTGCTAGCGTTGATTTGATGGGCAGGATTGACCAGCCCAAGATCATTCCACTATTCAGTTCTTCCAACCCAACCCAAGATATGACATGGGCCTGCCGTAAACAGGCATCATAAGGCCTCGAATAAAAAATCATATTGTCCCAAAAATACACAAACAATTGTGGCATCTTTAATTGTTCCTTGTTATTATTACTGTTGGATGCTGTTTAAAATATTTTTACTCCTTTTTTTCTTGTTAATTTTTTGTTTATTATGAAAAAATTGTGTATATTATCAATATACTCCTACTCTATACTTTTTGCATGTTTGACAAGTGTAAATAATGTAAAACAATTACGACAAACGAAATTAAAGCAAAATCTTTGAATAATTTATTGTTTGTTACTTAAAAAGAATAAAAAATTGATATTTTATTTCTTAAAATCATTGATAATTTGTTTTCGTTCGTCAAGTTATTATTTTAGTTACAATATATATATGTATATATATCTTTTTATAAAACGCAATAACAAAATTTGTTTATTAAAAATATCTTCATGAAATGGTTACTTCAGAATAATATATATATTTTATTCAAATTATACCACATAATCATATTAACTATTTATTACATATCAAGTATGCATAATTTAAATGAAAATAAATATAAATTGAACGAAATAACATATTGGTAAAATATTTTCTCTTAAATAACCTTAACTACGTTCTATATAACATTTTTATATTTGGCAAGATGATTGGGATTAGTTTGTGGTATTATTTTGTTGTATGATTGTTACTATCTTCTTTCATGGCTTTCGGTTGGTGTAAACAACAAAATTCAGTAAGCTAATTATACTTATGTGCAAAATGTGAGACAGACGAACATAAAAAGCTTAAATTATATCTGTTATTCAAGGATTACACAAATGATGATTCCTCCCTTTTAAGTAGCAAATAAAAAAAAAAAAAGATGTCTCCATTTTGGCTTTGCAATCATATCATCTTATCGTTTTATAATGCATTCAAATGCTTAATTTAGTGCTTAAAACTAAAAAGAAGAAGAAGCATTTTTATCAAATAAATAATTAAACGAGATTAAAGAGAATCATAAATCGTAATTTCGTAGGGATGTGTTTTCTTTTTTAGTTATAAGGAAAGGAAAAATGAGTTAGATTTCTCGTATTTTTGTTTTAAGGTAAAAATCCAAGACGATAGAATCGGATTTTATCTGTTTATTACTAAGTTGGATTTTTGAATAAGAGAAATATGGATAAGCCTAATTTATTTTCAAATTACGTCATTAAAATCCACAAGAATTTGGTCAATTTCATGTTCCAAGGGGTTTTCTATTTTTTATTTTAAGGGAAAACCTGAAAACTTTGCCTTAGCCCGCGAAGTTTGTATATATACATCTCACTCGAACTTCACTCAACACACTTCAGGAACCTTCAGGACAAACAACTCAGCCGCTACAACCACGGCATAAACCGCCGTCCATGGCGACGCCTCCGCCTCCTTACCTAGACCCAAACCACCTCAATCCCTTCTCTCAAACCTCCTCTCGCCTCCCAGAAGACACCGTATTTTACTCCGTCTACCCAGACAATTCCCTTTCCCAAGGCTCCCTTCAATCCCTCCACCTCCAAATCCTCAACTCCATTGCCCCTTTCAC